TTTTTATCAACTATCAATATAATATCAATATTCCTTATATCCCGTGTCCAACCCAATTAAGACTATATTTACGTGACAGAGGGAGTATTAAATAAAATTCTTATTTGAATTTTTAAATATATTATATATAATTTATAATAAATTATATTTATGTTATTGCATTAAAAAAATTACTTTGTTTTGATATAATTTGGAATCACATTTCTCTTATTCATCATATGTTTTCTTTTTAAAGTATACCACATTAAGTACATGTTTGTTTTTTTATTTAAAATCAAAATTTTCATTATTTTTTTACGGTTTCAATAAAATATATTATTTTATTTTATAAAATATCAAATCAAAATACTATTTAAATCAAAACTCAAATCACCATCATAATTTTAAATCAAAACCAAACAAACCCATATTTTTTATTTAAATATTATATTAAAATTTATATTTTATATAAAATATGATATCCCTCTATATTACATGTTTTTATTGAATTTTTTTATTATTTTCAAAATATATAAAAATAATATTATTTAAATTAAATATTTAATGTATTAAGCTTGTTGATAATAGTTACTAGAGTACACTTTTAAACTTATATACTAGTATATTAATTATATTATGTAACAAAGTGTGTATATTTATTATTTGGCTTTATTTTAATAGTTTTAATAATAATTTAGATATAATACTTTATAAAATAAAATAATATATTATTATCACTACATGTTAAAAAAATTGAAGCCAATCTTAAAGAATTTTATTAAATAGTAAATATAGTAAAAATTTGGTAAAGTTGTTAAAAAAAAAAAAAAAACTATTGTATTATAAAATGTAGTTTAGTTTACTATCTATAAAAAAAATACAAAATATATATATATATATATAGATATAGATATAAGATAAAGAGAGATTCTTTTATCTTTTACATAACTTCAATTTAGAAATAAATAAATAAATTATACACATTTATTAATAAAAATATATTGCTTTTTTATTGTAAAATATTTAAAAGTAATAAAAATTATTTCATTAAAAATACTTTTACGAATTTTAAAAATAATTTAAAAAATCATTATTTTAAAAATACTTAGATAGCCCTCCGTTCCATAACAAAGTATCATTTTTTTTATTTTAATCCGTCCCATAACAAAGTATTCACTTTTTTTTAATAATTGTACTATCTACCTAACATTACAAATACCCTTACAACTTACAATATATTACACAAATATCATTACATTTATATCACACATACTAATAAGGTTATTATAACAATTTCTACTTTATTTCTACTATATCCTAATATAATACTAATATTTTTAAAACTTCGTATAAAAAGCAAATGAATATTTAGTTATGAGACAGAAGAAGTAATACTCTCTTGGTCATAAAAATGTATGCTCATTTAATCAAGCACACATTTAAAAAAAAAAATAGGTAAAAAATAAAATTTTTTAGGATAAAAAAAAATGTAAAAGAAAATAGTATTTTTTTTATTTAAAAGAAAAAACATAATAATTAAAAGAAAAAACATAATAAAAAAATAAATTCGAGTCATGGAGTAATAATAATAATAATTTTAAATATAAATTAATTTTCCCATCTAATGTCACAAGCACATGTATGAGATTCAGATTGTAGGTCAACGGTGTATTGGCAAGAGCCAAATTGTAACCGGGATTCCCCTTAGCCGGTAATCTTATAACCCAACTTTGACTTGTTGGAAGACAAATCAGGCGCAATGAGGTTTTCCACCTTCGGTCTTCAGAATCAACAAAAGTGGGACAGCTCTGACCGGTAGCCCGTCCAACCATTTGACTTTTGCAATCCAACAATTTTCAACATTATACACCAAAACATTATTCACCATAAAATTATAGTAGTACATTAATGCATTCAACCATACAAAAAATAGGTACATGAACAAAAGACGTACAACATACAATATATAGACACATAATATATGTCTAATGTTAATACTAGCATACGAACTAACAATACATGATATAATCTTATATAACGTATAATATAGAGACAAATAATATACAATATAGAGACAAATAACACATGAGTTACATTAACATAATACAATACAATACATGAACTGATAATGCATGATATAGTTATAGTTTTATACTCTCTCCGTCTCTTATCAAATGGTCTATTTGCAGTATTTTAGTAGACTAAGAAATAATAGTATTTTATTAGTTAGTATAAGTATGTAAGAAATTTTGACATTTTTGCTCTTTGATTTATTGTATAAAGTAATTGTATGTTTGTAATTTAGATAAAATTTTAGTGTATTTTGGTATTAGTGTATGATTACTTTTTAAAGAAAAAAATAGGAATGTGATACTTTGAAATGAAACAGATAAAAATGGTAAAAAAAAAAAGTATTTTGAAATGAGACGGACGAATACGGTAAAAAAAGTATTTTGAATTAGGACAGAAAGAATACAACATAAGAAATATAGATAGACAATACACAATATAGAAACAAACAATACATTAATTAATGAACATATTACAAATACAATACATGATATAGTCTTATATAACATGTGATATAGAGACAAACAATACACATAAATTACATTAACATAATACAAATATAGCACATGAATTAAAAACATACAACATAATTTCACATAAGCGCATGCATAATATATATTATACTATCTCCGTCCCAATATAATAGTCTTCTTTACCATTTTTGTCCATCCCAAAAGAATAGTCTTATTTCCATAAATAACCATATCACCGTAAAACTACTCCAACTTTTTCATTTTTATTGCACAGTTGTCACTACTTTTTACACTAATACACTCACAAGGGCAAAAAAGTTTTTTATCTATACTTTTTACCCACTACCAATATAATATTAATATTCCTTAAATCTCGTGTCCAATCCAATTAAAACTATATTTATGGAACGGAGAGAGTATTAAATAAAAAAATAAGTATTATACTTTCTCCATCTCATAACAAAGTATCTATTTTTCTATTTTAGTCTGTCCCATAACAAAGTATCTATTTCTTTTTTTTTAGTAACTGTACTATCTACCTAACATTTAAAATATCCTTACAACTTACAATATATTACACAAATATCATTACCTTTATATCACACATACTAATAAGATTATTTTAGTTATTTCTACTTTATTCATACTACATTCAAATATAATACTAAGATTTTTAAAATTACGTGCAAAAAGCAAATAAATATTTAGTTATGGGACGAATGGAGTATAAATTTACTCGTTACGATATTTAAAGAATAATAAATGTAAATTTCTAAAAAATAAAATATACTTACAATTCTTGTAAAAGATGACCAATATGTTGATTGGTGATGTAATCACTATCACAAATATTGTCAACATCTAATTCTTGAATATCTAAATGTAATTGTATGTGTATTTTCAATGTACATATGTACATGTGTATAAGAAATATCTAAACAACATTAGAAATTTAAAAATATATATATATATATATATATAATATTAATACAACATTGAACCATAAAACAATTAGTTTGCATGGTATTAGGTTTGGCCGAGAGTTTGCCCAGTGCGCACTTTTGGGTAGCGGCTGCGGGTTCCCACGTCATCCAAAATAATAATAATAATTTGTTAAACTATATTGTTAATCTTTTAAAATGTATTGCAATTTGCTTAACACTCATTCATTTAACAAAGAGAAAAAAGGATTGAATCATTAAAGAAAATTTTGTGTTTAAATGCTGATTCTCATTTTTATTTTTAAAAAATTTGAATGTAATTTATTGAGAATAATATATATATATAATTGTAAAGTGAATACACCTATTAATTGTATATAAATCTAACAAATAATTAGCAAAAGATATATATACATAAGAAAATTGATTGTGTTTGATTTATATTTTATTACTTTCAATGAATACTTTTATTGCATAGCTTAAATAAAAATACTTCCTCCGTCTACTATCTTTTTATATATTAATATTTTATAAATAAAAGGTACAATGAAGTGATAAAAAAAAAAAAAAATCATTTTTTTTACTTTTAAATAATATTTATTTTTATTTGTAAGCAATTTTTTAACTCCAAAATATATTTTTTTTTTTCTTTTTTACTTTAAGCTGTGTTTCTAAAAAAATCAATTTCAAAATTCGAATTACTAATTTATCTTTAATAATAATAATAATAATAATAATAATAATAATAACATTACATAATAGTATATCATAACATTAATTTATATATTATATTTAGATTGAAATTAAATAGATAAATATTTTATTCACCCAAAATTGGTATGTTATCACACTTTAGCAAATAATAATAATTTTGAATTTATTTATTTATTTTTTATTTTTTATCTTTTAGACCGAGAAAGTATTTACTAAGCTGCATGATAAAATGTGTATGACATACAAAATTACTGATGAATTATTTCAACACTGTATCCTTTTTCTTTTATATATAACGGCCGCTACCCAAAAGTGGGTACCGGTTGAACTTAATACTTTACAAATTAGGCTCCACACTGTATCTTAATTATATACTATATATTTAATTATATATATATATGTGTGTAAGGATGTGCGTGTGTAATTAATAAATACATACGTTGTCTAAAAGACTTAAACGTTGAAGTTGATTTCTTCAAGTTGTATTAAATATATACAAATATATATACGTATAGAGAGAGAGAAGTTATATATATGTATATTAATCTATGAGGTATAGTATGTGATAAGCCAATAGTATTTTTTTTGGTAAATTAATACAAATTAATAATCAAAATCTGGCATTGACATTTTTGTGTGTACAGTAAGGCTAAGATTACAGACAAGAAGAAAGAAGAAGACGACTAAGAAAAAAAAAAAAAAAAAAAAAAAAAGCCATTTTATTTGAATTAAAGTAATTAATAATAATAATAATATATAGAATTAGCTGCTGCAGGTCAAATACTGCAGCTGCCTCTCTCTCTCCTCTCTTTAAAACCCTATAGACTATTTGCTCTTCATCTCACTCATCATCCAACAAATTTTTGAAATTTTTTTTAGAGAGAGAGAGAAGAAAATCCATGGAAATTGGTTCTAAATCTCAGCGTAAATCCGTAAAGGAGGATGCAATGAACAAAACCTCTGATCAATCCAACGGCGCCGCCGACGACGAAAGCTGTGGAGAAGAGATTGTTCTTCAGGTATTTTTTATTTTTTTTTCAATTGAATTTAAGATCTAGTGTAAATATATACAAAAAAAGAAAAATATAAAAAAAAAATTGTAATGAACTTAGGGTTTTTCTTTTTTTTTTTTGTTTTATTATAAGTGAAACGTATGAAATCGAATTTAAGTACGTAAAAGAAAAGAAAAAATAACGTGATGAATATAAGTTTTTTTAAAAAAAAAAAGTCGAAATTAAAAACGAGTTCAAATAGATGATAAAAAAGAAAAGAAAAAAAAGAATGTAACAAATACGTATTCTTTTTACATCGAAACTAGGATCGAGTTCAAATACATGATTATATATGTAGAAATTATTTGTTCAAATTTTGGCAGCACAAATGAAATATATATATATATATGAAAAATTATTGTGATTTAATTTGAATTTAATTTTTAGTATGTAAATAAGGTTGGAGGATCAAAAAGATCAGCACAAGAAGAAGATGATGAAATGAAGGCACCATCTCCCAAGAACAATCATTTTAAGCAGGTAATAATAATAATAATAATAATAATAACAAAATTAAATTCCAATTAATGTATATGTGTAACCAGAATAAAATATTACTCCGTTTGTACTATATCTATATATTCATTTACTTTTTATTTATTTAAAAGTAGAAATAAAGGTAAAAAGACTAAACTAACCCTATTAGTATGGTATGATATAAATGTAATGACATTTGTGTAATATATTGTAAATTGAAAGGGTATTTGTAATGTTAGATAGATAGTACAATTATTAAAAATAAAATGAATACTTTGTTATGGGATGGACCAAAATGAAAAAAATTGATAGATTGTTAAGGGACGAATGGAGTATTATTTTACAGAAATTTTACGTGTAAATATAACTCTGTGATGATATATATATATAGAGAGAGAGATAGATATTTCCCAATATCTAATTACATCTTTCATTTATAATTTCATTCAATTCACGATATGAAAAGATTTTTTTTTTTTTTTAATTTTATATATTTTTAAATTACAATTGCAAGTCTTCATCTTTCTTCGAAGAAAGTCTTCTAAATTTGGTGTATATATATATATATATATATATTTGAATGAATTGGAAGAGAGCATTGACCATATAATGAAGACATCTTCAACTTGTTAATATTCTATAAACCTAGCTCTGTATTTACTTTTTTTTTTTTTTTAATTTGATTTGATTTTTTTTATTATTATTATTCATGAGTCGTCGTGGTTTTCTATGTATACATATATATATATATTTTAATTACTAATTAAATAAAACATTAAACTTAAAAATAAAATAAAACAACCTACGTGTGTATATATATATATATATATATATATGTATTTGCATAAGAATTTGAAGTTAAATTTATGTGTAAAATTTTGATAGGGAAGTGCAAAAACAAAGATGGAGAGATCAACTTCTGAATCTGAATCCAGATCATCTTCTTCTGCTAGAGGGGAACAGGTAATAATAATAATAATAATAATAATAATAATAATAATAATAATATTAATATATTTTGCTACTTGTTATATATATATATATATAATTAATTGCATGTGGAGAAAAATATGTTATTGTATGTTAAAATTAAATAATTATTGTATATAATATTTTAAGTAAAAAATAAGTATTGACGGTAATTTATTATTATTATTTTTTTTTTAAAAAAAAAGTATCCTCAAATTATACATATGTGTGTGTATATTTGTTGTTCTAGTTTTGTTGTTTAATGAATATATATATATATATATATTTTTTATAGATAAATATAATCTTTAATACAAAAGTTTAATGATGCATTGGAATTTAAATATTTCTAAATCACTTTTAATTGTTATGTGTTATAACAAAATTTGGAAAACTTCTATTGTTCTTTTTGCAACACTTACTAAATAAAACTAGGGTTTCATTCTATTCGCTACATACAATGTTATTTAAATCTATTTTTATTTTTTAATTTTCAGGTGGATGATCAAATTGAATCGACAAAAGCAGAAATGGACGAGATTATGGAAGAAAATCAAAGGCTAAAAATGTACTTAGACAGAATTTTGAAGGATTATCGAACCCTACAAATGCAATACCAAAGCGCGATTCAACAAGACAATGCAAAACCTGATGATCCAAACAATGATTCGACATTTCATCATCGTGGCAATGATCATACAAAAGATTCGGACGATCTAATTGATCTTAGCCTAGGAATAAGTTCGAGGGATCGAATGAAAGAAGAGACACACAAAGTATTGCCAATTACCAATTCGACCAACATCATCGAAGGAGGTAATAATCATAAGGAAGGATTGAAATTAGGGCTTGATTGCAAATACGATGTTCTTGGGAAGTTGTCACCGAATAATCCGAGCCCGGAAAATAGCGTAGAAGAATTGAAGGAAGATGGCGGCGAAGGAGACGCGTGGAAACCTAAAAGTACGATGAAAAATGTGAGAGATGGAGGAGATGTAGACGATGTGTCGCAACAAAACCCTACGAAGAGAGCTAGGGTTTCCGTAAGAGTGAGATGCGACACACCCACGGTAAGATTATGATGTTTGTTTATATATATATATATATATTAAAGGTTCGATATTATTCATCTAATATTAATTTTTTTAAAATTTTATTATTATTTATTTATTTATTTTCAATTCGTTGATTTAGATGAACGATGGATGTCAATGGAGGAAATATGGACAAAAGATTGCAAAGGGAAATCCATGCCCACGTGCGTATTATAGATGCACTGTAGCACCGTCTTGTCCCGTAAGAAAACAGGTAAATATTCGAAGAAAACTTCAATTATGTTCTTTTAAAATAGTAGCGTTTTTTTTTATTAGTTATTGAAGATTAGAGTTTGCTTCTTTTGATAAGTTTGGAAAAATTTTGGTTTGAATTTTGTATTAAAATAATGTATAATAGGATGTTCTGTTAGAAAAAATATATATATATTTTTTATGAAACGAAGAATCCAAATAATAGAAATTTAGATTTTTTGGTTTTGAAAAGTGTAAAATGCATTTTGAGTGAAATATTTTTTATTTTTTTTAATATTTTGTGAAATATATATAGAGTATTTTGATAGATATACATATATATATATATGAGTAAAAGTAATTTTGAAAATTGTTTGATATTTTTTAGTTTGATAAATAAATCATTGTTCAATTCATTCTTTGTATTAGCTAAAAAATTAAAATAATGCATAAAATTTAAATATTTGTGCTTAAACTCTTGATAGGAGAGCATATAATTTTTTTTTTCTCTAATAAATTGATTCATGTATGTTATTTTAAGGGTGTCTTTGGTTTTGGTTGGCAGATTTTATTTTGAATTTTATTATTTATTAATATTTTTTTTAAAAAAAAAATTAATTAAATTTTTATTTTTTATATATCACGTCAATATTTATTTATATGAAAGTATAACTATTCAAATTTTAATATTTGATGTAATTGGTATAATATCTTAAAAAATAGATTATTGATAAATAGTGTCAATTTTTTTTAATATATTCACGTAAATAGAGTCAAAAGATCAAACTATATGCATTTATTTTTATCACTTTTTAGGCTCTGTTTAGATAGTAGTTTTATTAAAAAAATTAAAATAATTAAAATAATAAAATTTAAATATTTAATATAATATTTTATATAATTAAAAATTATTCTTGACGAATAGTTTAAACCTATGAATAAAATATGTATCTAACTAGAGTTTTTAATCCATTAGTTCTAAAAATTTAAACTTTTAGGTACAAAGATGCGCAGAAGACATGTCGATCCTTATCACAACCTACGAAGGCACACACAACCACCCACTTCCGATGTCCGCGACGGCCATGGCTTCGACCACCGCCGCCGCCGCCTCGATGCTATTGTCGGGCTCGACAACCTCGGGAACTAACCCCGGTCCGTCATCTACAACCTCATCCTCTATCACCACGACAAACCTCAACGGTCTAAATTTTTATCTGTCGAACAACCCTAGATCTTCAAAACCCTTCTATTTACCGAACTCCTCAATCTCGTCATCCCCCTCCTACCCCACCATCACCCTCGACCTCACCTCCTCTTCCTCCTCATCCTCTGGCTCCTACCATTCTTCAAACCTATCTCGACTCGGGAGTTACCCTCCGAGATATTCGACCACTAACCTAAATTTTAGCTCATTAGAGTCGTCGTCGCCAAACCCTCTCCCGATTTCTTGGAATAACGGTATGCTTAGCTACGGACACCAACCCTACAACAAGACCCAATCGACGAATTCCCTAAGCTTCGCTGGATCCCAACCACCGAGCGAAAATCTCTTCCAAACCTACTTGCAAAAGGCCAACATTCCAAACCCTAACCCTAACCCTAACCCTAGCCAACAATTGCTTCCTCAAGACACCATTGCCGCGGCAACCAAAGCCATAACTTCCGACCCGAGCTTCCAATCCGCTCTAGCGGCGGCGCTCACTTCCATTATTGGCTCCGGTGGTTCTAACAATGCCTCGACGCTAACGAGCCAAATCTTGGGCGAAAAATCGAGTCATGTGAATAGTAGTAAGACGAGCGAGGCTTTCCCTATTCTATCGAGCTTTCCATCAACATCCTCGAACACGAGTTTTCTTAACAAGTCTTCTTCGTCGAACATGTCTCAACCGAGCGAGTTGGTGTTTCTTTCGCCTAATTTTCCAGCGAGTAACTCCATGTCATCGTCGCCGAAGGAGAAGAAGGATCACCGCGGTGTTTGAGTCGAATCGAGCCGCGGCCCGACTCGACTCGGCGGGACAATTTTTATTTTTATTTTTTTTAGTTTAATTGTTGGATTTTTTTCATGGTTCCAAAACTCTTAAGTAAAATGTGCATGGATGTGTGTTTGTAAATTTTCTCCTTTTTTTCTTAGCCTTTGTCTTTATTTCATTTTCTTTTATTTCTTTTGTTGAGGTCAAAGGAGTGAGATATGATGAAGAAATTTGTTCATATGGAGATAGTTGACAAATATTGTGAATATGTTTTTTATGTAAGACCGACCAACTGTTGATGTCAGGAAATGTGTATATATTATTTACTTTGACTTTCTAAGCCAATTTGGCCGTTGACTAATCATCAATAATGCTTTTCTTTATTTACTTATGATTTTTTTAAAAATATATACTATCATCGTCCAACATAATTATTAGCTTTTGTTTTTGCATGATTTTTTAAGTGATATATTTTGACCATTAACCAATTGTCCAATATGCATATTTTTTAAATATAACTATTATTTTTTAAAATATATTCGTATCTCAAAATAATTGTTAGTTTTGATTTCGTTATGTTTCTTTAAATGATATAATCTTAATAATATTTTAATTATTTGTGATGGTTTTGCAAATAATACTATTAATAAAGAGAAAAGAGAAAATATTAAATATAAAATAAAGAAATTTACAAGTATTTTAGACATCCCAAAATAAAATTAATAATAAATAAATAAATTAAGACCGAAAAATAACATTAGAAAAAATAATAGTGTTATATTGATGTTAAATTTGTATAAGATAGAAATGTATAAAATACCATTAGTTTTCTTGAGGTAAAAAGTGAAATGTGTTATCGTATTTTAGCAAATAAAAATAAGAATGATGATAAATTGACAATTAGGTGAAAGCCACATAAACTATTAATAAAAATAAACGATTTAGCTTAGACAATCCCAAATGGTAAGTGGAGTTTAGGTATTCTGTAATTAGTAACCGGTTAAAAAGTATATTTGTAAAAATAATTATAACTTAATAAATATAATTAAATTAAGATTAAAATGACTAAATAGTTTAATTAAAATAAAAAATTATGAACTATGAATTTAAAAATGTGATTAAAGTGTATAATTATATTTAAAAAAAGAAAAAGAAAAATTATGTGAGAAGACGAAAATAGAAAGAGTTGACACATTATGTGGGAGAGGGTATCATTTTATCATTTTGTCTATCTATTCAAAAGTATCAATTTTCTATTATGGTAAAAATAATCGTACACTAATACGAAAATATACTCAACTTTATATAAATTACAAATATAACATAACATATACATTGATATACGCTGGAGATTTTTTTAAGAAAAAACAATTATCCATTGAAAGAACTTTGGATTTTCGGGTGCGTTTTGGATAAACCCCCGACCGAACCTAATAACCTACACTAGATGAATCATATATGACAGACAATCTCGACATTACCAAGTCATCCCTTACGAGACTTTTGTACCATTTATTTTGCTTGGAGGCTAAGAAGGTTGAAGTGATTATTAAAAGAAGACTATTGGCAATGAAAAATATACGTAACATAAGAAATCTTAAAATTTGTTCTTGAAAAAAGATTTTATTTACATATTTAATATAATTATATTCGTACATTTTATGATCTCATTGTGTCTTGTTTATAAAATGTCATTAAAATGTGAACGAAACCATCATCTTAATATGTATTGATAGTTAGTTTTAATTGACATAGAAGTAGTATTTGGGACAACAATATAATGATGAAGAAACATATAGCTTCATACTAAAAAAATAATAATTACAAAATATATGGAATGACAAATAAATTGCTTTAAATTTGTACTTACATGGACAATCTTTTTTTTTTTTTTTTAAATGACGCGGAAACCCGCAGCCGCTATCCGAAAGTGCACATTGGGTAAACCCTCGATTGAATCTAATACCATGCAAACCAGATCCGACGGGTAAATGGACAATCTCTTGATTGTATAGTCAATCAAGGAGTGTGTTTTTATGGTAAACAAAGGTTTTAGAAATTTGTTTAGAGAGAGAGAATGAGATTAGATGCTCTCAACTGAAGAATTCGTCATAGATGGAAGTTATTGGAAAAAATTCATTGAAGGTTGAAGTTATTGGAAAGAGTTGTAGTTATGATGTTCTCTAATCAATGTGACTTGTAGTAAAACTCCTTTCGGATTAAAAAACCTCGGATGTAAATTTGATTTATAACCGAGTTACCAAATATCTTTTGCTGGAATTTTAAATGTGATAGAACATCTATTTTTCGACAGTTAAAATAATATTACCTCCGTCCCACATTGGGTGTTTTAGTTACCGTAAGCACAGAAATTTAGGATAAGTATAATTAGTAAATAATTACGAATGTATTAATAAAAATAATCAACTTATAATATAAATCATTATAGATTAAGACGACTAGTTAGCTTAATTAAAATTTAAAAAAAATAAATTAGAAATTTTAAAATAAGATTAAAATGCAAAAAAAAACAGCAATATGAACATAGTAGATGGGACGGACTCCTTTCTGTGCTTATTTGATCGGACACAGGTTTTAAAAAAATATGTAAGAATAAAAAATTTGTACTTTTTTTTTGTAAAAAGAAAAAAGTGATTATTTTACTAAAAAAAGAAACGAGAATAAATTTAGATGACAATCAAGAATGAAAAGTAAGAATAGATTTGAACGAATAAGAAAGTATTATTTACTTTATATATTTTTTACTATAAAAGTATGAAATTATTTTTTTCTTTAAATTCATACCCAATCAAATAAACATAAATTTAAGTAAAGAAGATTATACAACATTAGACGCAAGGATAGGACTTAAATTGTGGGCAAAATTGTCCATAACTCTCTTGTGGTTTCGAAACTCAGCGTAAATTCTCCATCTATTTTAAAAATTGCATGGTACCCCTTATACTTTAAAAAATATTGCATGAAACCACTTTATAGTTTCGAAACTCAGCATAAATCCCTATTTTACTTTAAAAAATTATATGACGCTCACTTATACTTTCAAAAATATTGCATAAAACCCACATACCATGCAAAACATATAGATAGAAAATCACACGATGAAAGTTTCAGAGTAGTGGGGTTTCAGGCAACGTTTTTTAAAATATAAGGGGGTACCATGTAATTTTTAAAATAGATGAGAATTTACGCTAAGTTTCGAAATCAAGGGAGTAATGAACAATTTTGCCTAATCTGTATCTCACCTGCACCAACCCTTACCGAACTACTATCACTTTTTGACCTCCATGATTAAACTATTGTGTTTTTTTTTTTTAATAAAAAAGCCTCATAAAAAAAATTAATGAGCAAAAAAAAATATACAGTACATAATAATAATATATATATATATGCTCTAAGCACAATTTTCAATGAAATAAAAAAAACCTAAGGCAATAGAAACAACCAGCCAGCGTATATTAAGAAAAACAATACAACTGTAAACTTGTTGAGACACAAGACAACACCATCAAAATGCACACAGTAATTTCCTCTAATCAAATTCAAAAGAAAACTACACACAAACTCATATCCATAAAATATGTTATAGGAAAAATATACATACCCATCATCATCATAATTCATAATTGTTGTTTAGACTTCCACTGCAGTGTTGTTGTTGTTGTTCATTTCCATCTCTGCTGCTGCTGCTGCTTCATCCTCCTAAACCAATTCAATACATAATAATAACAATAATACATACACCTACGGAGTCGGCTTGAAATTTTGAAAATAATATACCCCCTCCATTCCAGCTAATTTAATAAAAATAATTATAAATTAAAATTAAAATAACTAAATAATTTAATTAAAATAAATATATATATTAAATTTTAAGTTGTAATTAAAGTGTATAATTATATTTTTTAAAAAATAAAAGGAACAATTTATGAAGATGAATATAGAAAAATTGGACAAATTAAATAAGATAGAAGAAATAATATTTTGATATAATGGATAAAAATCAAATAAGTATATTTTTTCAAATTTGAATCAAGACACATATCAATATATATTTATTTATATCATATCAAATAATTAGTAATATTTAAAAATTTTATTATTCAAAACCCCCAAACAACACATACAAATATTTTTCGAGAAACATAGTTCACATTGTAAAAAATCAGAAAGAAAAGCTAGGAAACACAGGTGTTTTAGAAATTAATTTAATATCTAAATTGACAGAAAAATTATTGCTATTTATGATATACGTAATTCAAAGAAAAAATTAACATAAATTTGAAGAAATATATATCAAAAAGTTATAGGAATACACTATACATATACTATCTCAGTAATTCAATTGTCTTCTCATTTCATCGGGAAGAAAAATAGATAAAAATAAAATATTTATTTTTTAGAGTAAAAAAAAATAGAAAAACAATATTTTTTTACTAAAAAAAAAAATAAGAATAAATTTAATGACAGAGGAAATATACATATATATATTATGGGCAAGAATCCCTCACCATATTTTCTTTGTTTTCTTGGAGAGCCTCATTTGGTAGAGAGTTGATAGGAGCTGTTGCAATTTAAACACAAAATAACAACCAAATTATTCAATCATTATATATGAATTGACTCTGAATACTAAAGATGTAGCCTTAAAAGAATGAATTCAGAGTTCAATCATCACCTTCACCTTGAGCAGATGATTTCTTCCCCTGCTTCACCTTAATACTATTATCCTTATCTTTCCTTGATTTTCGCTGTATGCTCCGTCCTCGAGTTGTTTCTGAATTAGGCTTCGAAATCGCAGAATTCTGAGGCACTGATCTTCTGTTCTTCTTCTCAGATCCATCGCTTGCCTTCACCGAATTCGCAACACTTTTCTCCAATGTCTTTGTCTTCAGCTTCGGCTTCTCAGCCTCAGTAATCGAAGAAGATGAGCTATTGGCATCATCATTATCCGACAACTGGTTTCCTTCAGACACTTGCAGCTGCTCAAAATTTTCGTTAATCTTGTAGCTCTCGAGGAGTTCTTTCACAAATTCGCTAAATTCAACAAGGCTATGGCGACGAACATACGACTTTAGCTCATCACTCATCCTCTGTAAAGGCTGCAATATTTTACAACTATTTATTTAAATCACATTATATCCATAAACATGGATTCGTTAATTATAACTAATATTTTTTTCGTACCTCGCATCGAGCCTCCAAAGCAAGCTTGAAGAACCCAAGGGATATCGAGTGCTTAGCAGCAGATTCCGAGAGCCTGATTTGGGAGAGCCAATAAGATGCTGATGAAAGAATGCTGTACTTTTTGCGATGTGATGATTTCGAAACATCAGAAAGAGGGGTGTCGTTCTTTGCCGAGGATCGTGTAGCTCTAGTCTCGGAAATGGGAGTTATGTTGCCTATGAATTTTGGCGCCGGGCTGGCATTCGACTTTGAAGGAACTGATAGCCTTCGAGGAGGTTTCGAGGGCTTCTCCTTGCTAGATACATCGAGAACTCCCACACTCTTACTTACACTGCTAGATGCAATTCTTCCCCTAAACATACAAAAAGCAGAAATCTTGAATATTTTCAAGTAAATGTAATATGCAAATAGTGATGTGCAAAAAGGAGATTGAGAATATAATTTGAATTGCTGAATGTATAACTCTGAAATTGTTCTAAGTTAGTAATTCAAGAGAAAACATAACTCAATCTGTTCTTGAGATGAAATAAGTCACATAACTTTAAGAATTGTGGCTATTTAAAAACATACATAATTACAATAAAAATTAATAAAAAATTATATAAGCAAAAATATTTTACCAAAGTTTTTACTTGTTCTTTTTTTCCTTCAAAAATACCAAATCAAACAATTATTTTTTTTAAAAAATATTATACTACAAATATATTTTACATTCAAAACATCAAATCTAACCTCTATTTATATAAAATTAAATAACTATTCAAATTCAGGTTTTTACCATCTAAAAATTCAAGCCCACAAACAAACACACCCTAAGTCACTAATACTTTGATAATCAGGTAATCAAAGTTAATAATATTCAAAATAAGACAAATAATTTTCTTCTTTATTTCACTATTTTGACTTGTAAAATCATGAGTGTTCTTTCTCTTCTTAATCTTCTTCATTTTCATTCATTGTATTGTTATTACTGCAACTAGAATTGTTTAAAAGTGATGAGATATCATATAACAATTTAAACTCTCGGAAGCATACAATGAAGTTTAAATTGACAATAACACATCAAAACGATCGTTCAAAACTATCCAAAAATCTGTCCACATTCAACTACGCTAACAGCAATCAACGATCATACGACAATGCTAACAAATTAAAATAACAAGAAAACTCAATTGAAGAAACCAAAAGAAACTCCACACACAAGCGCCAGAACACAAACCTCTTCGCAGTAGAATTAGAGTTCGCGGAATCCGCAAGAGGCGGCTTCTCTTCCTTAGCCCTAGCCGCAGATCGGAGCGGATAACGAAGAAGTCTCGAGGCTGATCTACCTGCTCCCCAAAAAAAATCAATTCAAAAAACTCAAAAAGCCTAACGAAAATCGGGTAAGGCAACCGCAAAACCTAAAACAATTGAACAAAAAGGACTTTTAAAAGAGAGAGTACCGGCGGTGGCGGCGGATGCTTGATCTTTGGCGGCGGAATCCTCCATGGAAACGGATTTGAGCGAGAAAAGCGAGATCCGGAATGGAAAACGGATTGAATTTGGAAGTGGAAGGATGGAGATGAGAAGAGGTGACTGTATTTAAATTGAAGGAGCGTCAAATGGGCGGGAAAAATGGAATAAAGCGATTAACTCAAAACTGAGGGAATTATGGTGAGACAAACAACGGCTTTCTGTGGGCCCACAGGCCCTAAAATGGACGCTCCTTATATTTGAATTTCAAATTTCAAAATGTATGTAGTTGTAAGTATATGGTATGTTTGTTTGGTTGGAATTTTAATTTTAATTTTGAAATTAAATAAAATGTATTATGTGAGAGTTACATTTATGGTTTCCTTGTTGATTTTTTTAATATTAATTATTATATTAAAATATAATTTAAATTATAAAAAAATTACAAAACTGTTTATATTAGTATTTTATAATACAAAAAAATATTTACATAAAAAATATACAAATATAAAAATATTAAATTTATCAAAATATTGAAATTGATTATTATATGAATAAAAAGTCGTATGTGAAGAGTGAGTAGTATATTGTATTACCATGAGTATATATTACTATATTTTTTTAATAATATTTATAGGTAACGTAACACCAAAAAATATATTTCTTTTCGTCATTTAAATTTATATTTACTTTTTTTTTATTATCATAAAAAATATTCTTATTTTTTTAAGTAAAAATTTATTGCATTTTTGTATTTTTTTTTACTATAAAAGAAATAATAATAATAATAATTATTCAGTTTTATTAAAATCCATGTCCGACCAAATGAGCACACATTTGCACGAAAAATGGAGTATTAAATTAACAAATCTTTTAAATTTAAATAGTTTCATGAAATATTTTAATTATAAATATAAAATTAATTTTTAATATAATAAAAAAATTAAATATTTTTAAAAATAAAAAGAATGGCGACAGTGAAAAAATAGTTGAACAAAAACTCTCCAACCTAACACAACATTAGGGCGTTTGTTTGGAAATTTGAAAGTCAAATAAAAAAGAAAAAAATTAAATTAAAATAATAATATGATTTGATATAAACAAATATTAATATAATATTTTGAATATAAAATTAATTTTTAATATAATATAAAAATAAAAAAATAATTTTATATTTTCTAAAAAACATTTGATAAATAGTAAAATTTTAGAAAATCTTTTAAAATAATACACCCTCAATTTCTTTTGTATTTACAAAAGTAACATTATCAAAATTATCTTACATATTTCTATCGACAAATAAAATATTACTATTACTTTTAATATAGTTAAATATATATATGTATATATATAATTTTGACATAGGGGTATCATTTTATAGAAATCTTGATAAAATTGCAGAAGATAAGCAAGAAATTTGGGCATCTAACATTAAAAATAAGTGGTAGGGTATGTGTGTATATATATGTTCATGTACACTTCTTCCAAAACATAAGGACAAAAGAAACATCTATAACTTTATGCACATTAAATTGAAAAACGTAAGTAGTGTGGAACTAAGGAAATTAATCCAAAGAACATCTTACTTTAGAGATCAATGGAAGATCGATTCATCGATTTGGGAAGGATCAATGACCACTCCTCGGACATGCCTATTTCGACCCAAAATGTTTTGACGAGACGACGACGACGACGGCGTCCCGAGCTGTACATGAGGTGGCACCGGAGCAATATTCGAGTTGCCGGAGACGCAGAGCGCTCCGGAATCATCTTGTTGCCAATACACTTCGACCATTGTGCCCCCGGGATTGTCCGTCGATTCGGTTCCCGGTAGCCCAATGAACCGCGCGCCTATTGGTACCTGCGAGTGTTTTTCCGATGCAACTAAAATGGTAAAATAAATGAACAGTTTGTAGGTACAGTATGATTGTTGATCTAAATGAGCCGAACATTGATATAAATTTCATAGTCATGTTTGCGGACAAGATCGATTGAGATTTGTTTGCGAAATAGAATATTTTAAAAAATACCCAATTGTGTGAAAAGATTACTCTCCAAAAGTACATATATATACATGCATAAAAATAAAAGTCAACAAAAACATAAAAATCAACCCAAAAAGTAAATCAGTTCCTATGATAATTTCACAATTTATCGGGCCTTACAACAAAAATATCTAAAACTATAAACACTAAACAAATACGCTTTAATTTTTAAGCAAGATTCATTAGTTAACATTAATAATATTAACTAAATCAAGTTTGAATTTAATACTCTATATCTACTCTACTATTTAAATGAAAAACTAAAACCAAATCACGACAAAGTTACGTTTTTAAAAAATAATACTCCCTGCCGTCAAAGTCAAAGGTAATTCATTTTGTCACTTCGATCCGTTTTCTTTTTAAATAAAACTTTCAACTAATACCAAAATACCGATATTTCTTTTGTCAATCATTATTTTAATATCATTAATGTCAAGGGTAAGAAGGACTTTATACTTAAAATACCTAAATCAACTTGCAAAAATCAAATAAATACCTTTGAGTCGAACGAAAGGAGTTTTATGTTTAACGAGCTAACCTCAAACAACATTTTTCCCTCGTAATTTTTAGCGAAAAACACAAGCCGAGCTTGAGTTGTTACCCAGACATAAACAGTCAAATATGAAAAGTTTGGGTTTTCGAGTTTTAAACAGCTCTAAGCATACCATGATACCATGATAAGATCAAACTTACTTGATAAGACACGCCCGTGTTGAGAGTGAGAGTAGCGAAGGACTCCTCACTTGCAGCATTTTCCAACTCGGCCTTTTTCGCAATGTTTAGGAAAACTTCTTCGAGGGTCGCTAGTCCGAGCTGGATGTCAGCTATCCCGAACTTTTTCTGACGCTCCTGAAGCTCGGCAAAAAATTTCTGAGATCGGAGGGAACAGTTAGGGGCTGCGATTGCTGTTAAAAATGATCGTATTATAAACTGACCGTAGTTTCGGTTTTCCCCTACCTGCAATAGCTTCTCCTTCTCGTGGGGGATGACGAAGGTGAGGAACGATTTGCTCTCTTCTTTAGGCGAAACATTTAAGCGCTGCAACGATACATGGCATCATATAGAGCTGTTAAACGAGCCGAGCGAGCTCAAGTATCGATTGTTCGAGCTCGACTCAAACTTGTTAACGGTACAGGCTCGACTCGACTAGAATTCAAGCCAAAATAGTGACTCGCGCTCGGCTCATTAGACTCAAATTCAAACTTGAGCTTAAGTTCGAGCTCGGCTTGAATTTTATACATATTCTATATATTTTATAATATATAAATTAAATATATTTAAGTTTGTTCATAATTTTTTATAATAAAATATTTAAATTTTAATAATAAATATAAATTTTGATATAAAATATTATATATATTATATAAATAATATAAATATACTATCACTAACGAGCTAAATTGAGCTTACTCGCGAGCCGAGCTCGATATCTCTATAAACGAGCCTAGTTGAGCTTGGCTCGCGAACTACTCGATTCGTTTAACAACTCTAACTTCATATTATCATATCGTTTGTAAAAAAAAATAAATACTTCAACCGGTTAGAATTGGGCTTACGGATTTGAAGAACTCTTTCACCGCAATGTGTTGATTCGTGTTGAATGTTTCTCCTCGGCTGGGAGTGCCGAGAACATCCTCAGAAAAGCTAACATTGGCGATAAAACCAGTCCCGAAGCGCGACTTCAGCCTTATTGATGTTCCGAGGCAGCGAAGCCTGCCTTTAGCCATGATTGCGATTCTGTCGCCTAAGATGTCGGCCTCTTCCATAGAATGCGTCGTTAGGATGATTGCGCGCCCCCTTTTAGCCCCCTCGATCACGTCCCAGACGTGCCTCCGAGTTATTGGATCCATACCGGTCGTCTGCAAGTTCAAGATCAACTTTTAGTACGAAATATTTTTTTGGCGCGAAGGATAACATAGTTTTAGGCTAACTAACCGGCTCGTCGAGAATGACTAATTTTGGTTCGCCGATGAGAGCAATGGCGACACTAAGGCGCCGTCTCATTCCCCCGCTATAGGTTCCGGCTCTCACTTTGGCAGCCTCAGTAAGTTTCACCTCAGTTAATAAATTATGCACAACCTGCCATTATAAATGCCTCTACCTTTACTGTAACGGAAAAGTTACCGGCAGTAATTCAAAAAAAAAGATTTTTGTGATCGAAGATTTCGTCGAGTACATACTGATGTAACCGAAGCACGGGTTAAGCCTTTGATGCAGGCAAAGAGGTGGAGGTGTTCTTGACCAGACAACGCGTCCCACAGTACATCAAACTGAAATATCAGCCAAATAAGAATTTACGAGGCGCCGTAAAATTACAATGCGCTCAGATTCTTGATCAGAAGGAAAAACCTGAGGACAAACTCCTATCATCCTTCGAATGTTCAACATCCCAGTGGAATTCCGGATGGAGTTTCCGTAAATTAAAGCTGTCATTATACACGTTGTTAGAAATTCGGATTTGTGTCAATGAAATAGCTGCTAAGAAACTCGGCTAGTGAGTTCTTACCATCTCCGCCAGTCACCGGTGTAACCCCGGTGAGACAGTTGATGATAGTAGTTTTCCCAGCTCCATTCGGTCCGAGAAGGCAAAATAACTGATCCTTTGGAAAGTTGAGCCAAATTCCCTGCAGGTAATTTGTATTTTTATGTTGATCATCATCAATTTGACGGAAAAACATAAACGTTGTAGCATGTATTAGATCGATCACTCTAGATCATTCTTGCAACAACAAACCTATCTTATATGTTCTTCTCATTGTGTAAATGCATATGAACTCATTCCATGCCCAAGGAAAGAAAACGAATGATTGTAAGAGGATATATGGCACAATCATGGTTAAAATGCTATCAATTAGATATTTGATACACTAAAAATTAGAGCTGGCAAAAACTGACACGACACGATAACCCGATACCAAATAATTGGGTTTGGGTCAAATATTTAGTTGATAGCATTTTATACCATGATTGTGCCATATATCCTCTTACAACTGGTAAACTTAATTAAGTGGAAATCTTTGATTCAAATTCAATTATTTTTTGTCATGTTGTCGAGCTCGTGTCAACCCCGTATACATAGCATGGGTCAACACGACAATATGACAAAAAATAATTGAATTTAAATTAAGGACGACTTAATTATGTATACAAGTCAATACGAATCCGACACGATAATAAACGGGTCGGGTTATGGTTGAATTATTTAACCCGTTTAAAGTATTCAACTCAACATGAACTCGATACGAATCGACCCATTGTCAGCTCTACTAAAAATTATGGAATCATCAGCAGTAATCCAAAATGTACACAAGAAGGTTTGGTTGTATAACGATAACTTTACCTTGAGAGCATGGTACGGTGAAGTTCTCTTACATTTGCAGCAACCCATCTTTGTTGATCCGGCATAAATCTTTTCGAGGCCACGTAATTGAACTGCAACAAGTGAATCAACAACACCCTCCCTATCTTGTTGTTTCACTATGGTTTCCTCATCTTGTACATCCTCATCGTCCTGGCCAACATCTTCAGAAGCCGGGATTGAACTTGTGCAACTGCAAATGCTCCCTTCTGCAATTTAGAAGGCATATCCACAAAACAATCAAGAAAATGGGAAAAGAAAAAATGTAATCCGACAAGAGATATATAAAATACCTTCAGATTTATTCCCTCCTTTACCAGTCCAGTATCGAGGACTCAAAAAGTAGAACAACGGCTTCCTAACCCCGGATGAGTTTGGAAAAATGTTGTCGAAGTAGATAGCCAAGACAAACCACAAACAGGAGGTGCCGACAAGCCATAAGTAAATATCATTCTGAAAATAAGTATTAACACAAATCAAGAAATGTGGCAGCTGAATATATTTATCCTCGGACATCAACTGAGTTTCGATTATTGTTAAGTAAGGCTACAAAGAACGTACCATGGTTATAACACATTCTGTATCCTTTGGTGCACATTTTGTCCTACCACTCCAGCTGACGCCAGGATCTCGAGGAGTTTCAGTTGCATCCGAAAGCAACTTCAAGCCCGCAGCGAGGAGGTCAGGTGGAAAGAATGACCACACAATTCGGTATGTATTAGAAAACATATTGCTGTAAGGAAACCCGAATACCGTAACAACCTGGAAACAATGAACAGAGATATCTTATCAAGAGTTGTCGGATTAGCTCCAAAAATTTCGAAGTGAACTTTTGATAACATAAACAAACCTGAGTTGTAAAACCAATAATGAAGACAAAGAAGCCCACAGTAGTTGATGAGGAAGATTTGCTTATGAAGGCAGACAGCATGAAGGCAAATCCCGTCTGGCAAATGAAATACGAATAAATCATACGTTGAAAGTTTCAATATTTCGAGTGTTTTTGCAAAATTAGGGGAACATACCATGCTCAGTTGAAATAAGAAAAACAAGAGGAAAACAACTGCGAAACTGTTGTGCAAAAAGAACTTAAATCGAAACATCATCCCAAAAAGAACAATGAAGAGTGAAGATAGAAGCCCGAGTATTCCCTCCCAAGAGAACCATGATAACCAAAATGCTGTATCATAAAGACCCATCATTGTCATCGCCTGTTCATGAAACAAGTCATGTACAGCAGATCAGTAAACTGTAGGTAATTTCTAAATTTCAACTTATAACACATTAGCTAATACCTGTCGAAGTTTTAGTTCTTTCTCTGTTACCAAAGAGCTGATTTGGAAGACAAAAGAAAACATGGCAATAGCGAGGAAAAAAGTCGGTCCGGCAGTCTGAACAGCAGAGAAAACTTTAATTGAAGGGTGGGCGAATTCCTTTAGATTGACTGCCCACCTGAACCCGGTATCTGAAACATAATACAGTTGGAAAAACTAGTTACATTTCAGATGGAAATTTAGGCAAATATTTCATTATTTTCTGTCAACATAATTGAAACAATCACATTATGAGTTATATACCTCCAACTAAAGTTCTTGCAATTTCACGCTCCACAGCAAGTTGAAGAGGAATTTGAAACTTAGTTGGACGTTCAAACAGCCCTCGTCTGATAAGTGGTGTAGAATTAGTCTGCAATCCATAGCTAATTACAGTGGCATTTCGGTCAATGAAATGGAGAGCACCGGGGCACTTCATAGGGTCACTGAGCATCCAATCATCAGTTTCATTCGGGGTCCGGAATTCTCTAACCTGCAGAGCATCAAATAAGACTACTTATCTACTCTAGAAACAGCACAACTTCTTTAAATCGGATAAATAACAGTCTTTTTGAAGATCAAATCATCAAAATCATATTAAGGTGTCCGGAATTCTCTAACCTGTAGAGCATCAAATAAGACTACTTATCTACTTCTCAAGAAACAGCACATTTTCATTAAATCGGCTGAATTACAGTCCTTTTCAAGATCAAATCATCAAATCATATCAAGGCGTCCGGAATTCTCTGACCTGTAGAGCATCAAATAAGACTACTTATCTACTTCTCAAGAAACAGCACATTTTTATTAAATCAGCTAAATGACAGTCTTTTTCAAGGTCAAATCATCAAAATCACATCAAGGTTGTGGAATGAGCCCCTTAAATTGCTACAATGGCTCCTCCTTATCCGAAGCTAACGAATGCTTAGTTATAGTCTGGCTGTACTTCCAGAAACGCTCTTACTTTAGAAAATCCCTAATTCATCAAATTCATACTGATGTTCATAAATCGATAATATTATCCACTAGTAGTGACCAATCAGTTCTCAAAGTGGTTTACACGCCAATGGATGCCTAACAAATCAAAATATTATAATCACCAACATCGTGAAGAATTAGTTGACAACACAACTGAACTATTTCTACAATGATTATACATAAAATAATATGTGCTTATACTCTACTGGTCAAACTTGCAACAACTAATCAAACTAAACAATATCGACAAATCTTAAGAACCAATGAAACGAATCAGACAAAATAAAAAAGTAGGGACAAAAAAAGGGGCACACACCTTCCCCTCGGGAATAGGCCTTCCAGGATTATTCTCCCTAATTCTACGCACAATCTCCCGAATTCTCGGACTATTTCCGCTCCAAACAAAATCGAAGCACGGCAATTTGATGTAGAACTTATCCTCACACGGCGGAATCGGCGGCGCCACCAGAAGAGGCGGATTCCTCTCATCTTGATACGCAGTCGACGAACTGAACCGCGCCTCCACCGCTTTCTGGATTCCGAAAATCAGGAAAAGGAAGAAGAGCGAGGAAAAGAGCTGGAGGAGTGTGGATCGCTTGTTCCGCCATGCGAGCAGCACATTCTTCAGGAACAACGCCTCGTATTGCTGCATCAGCAGAGGGAAACCTTTCTGAAGCTCCATTTTTGGGGAAAATTTCTTAGAAATGCTTCACTTCATAAATAAGACATTTCATATACAGTGTTATATCGGTTCCTTCTTCACGTCAGTTGGACCCCCGGGAGACGATGAAGTTGATATTACAATTTTACCCCTAGGAGTTGCCTAAATTACGAAAGGACAAATTACGTGTTGGTCAACTTTGTAAAGATTATTATTAGCATTATTTTCGTGGAAAATTCGGTGTAAATATTTGGAATTTGTTTCTATAAATAAGTAGTGTAATAACGCGGGATGTACCACACGTCTTTACCAAATTATAATTGGTAAATAAATACTCCCTACGCACATTCTTAAAATGTATTAGTAATTATAATATAATTAATTAGTATTTATTTTTTATTTTAAAAAAAAATAATCATATTATTTTTAATTTTTATTTAAATTATAAATATATCACATGCACGATGTCAAAAAGCAAAAATATCAAAAATTATTACACATTTCTACTAATTAATACTCCCTCCGTCCCTTAACAGTCTATTCATTTTTTTATTTTAGTCTGTCCATAATAAAGTATCTATTTTTTTTTAGTAATTGTAATATTTACCTAACATTATAAATACTATTCCAATTTATAATATATTACACAAATTTCATTACGTTTATATCATATAATACTAATAAGGACAATTTAGTCTTTTTATTTTTACTTCAACTATATTCCAATATAATACTAATATTTCTAAAACTCCGTGCAAAAAATAAATGAATATATAGATATAAGACGGAGGGAGTAAAATATTATTAAAGGAGTACTTTTTTTTTTTTTTGTTTTAATCTTCTATAATTTTTAAATACAATTTATAACATTATAAATAATACTTTCTCCATCTCACTTACGGTATCCATTTTTCAATTTCCGTCTCACTTCTCCTTTTTAAAAAATATTATACATTTTAATTTCATTTTAAAATTTTAAATTTTAAATTATTTTACCTTTAATTATATTAATTAATTATCTTAATATTAATTAAAAATTATTTTTATTAAATAATTATTATTTTTACTAATATATTTTTAATTATTTATTAATTATAATTCTCCTATATATAATATATGTGTCTAACTTAACACATATCTAAGAAGAATGGAGTAATAAAAAGTTTGTTGGTTTTTATTTCAGATCAAAATGTTGATAAAATTTTAATTTGAATAGTATTTTCATATAATATTTTATTTTAATATTATATTTTGTAAAAGATAATAATGTATGTTTATTTAAAATCATATGAATTAAATAATAATGATTCTAATGATAAATAGAAATCAAACACACCCCAAAATTATTAAAAACTAATAAAATTATATCATTTAAAATATTATGCCAAAAATAAATCAAACAATGGTAGTACTTTTTTCATCAAATTTTAGATATAATTTATAATATTATTTCGAATTAAAAAAAAAAAGAATTTTTAACAATTGTGCATAAATATATAAAAATAATTATTAATCATGTAACAAAAACATTTTTTGAATAATGTAATATAAATACCATCTTCATCCACACAATATATCTATTTGACCATTTTTTACTATTCATAATTTTCATACTTTCATTTTAAATGTAGTTCCAATATAATAATAAAATATGTTACATCTCACTTTAAATTACTTATCTATTACTTATCTCACTTTAAATATGTTCCAATTTTTTTTTTTGTCCGTCCCATTAAAGGTAATTTATTTTTAATTTTAATAAATTTATTATTTAAACATACTTAATAAATATAAATCAATTTAATTAAATTTGTCACTTCTTATACATAGGGCCTAAATCAAACACGTGTTTTTTTTTGGGAAAATTTTGTATGAACAATGTATAAATCCTCAATTCTTCAAACAAATACACACTTTTTCTTTTAAATAATATCAAATTAATATTTATTTTTTTATATTATACTAAAAAATAATTTTACATTCAAAATATTATATTAATACTTATTTATATCACATCGTGTAACTATTTTTTACTATTCAAATTCTAAATACCAAATTTAAACCTTCAAAAAGTGGGAAGAATGTTACATGGAGAAATTATGGCATTTGAATGTAACAATGAATGTGCATTTTGGGCAAAAAAATAAAATAAAATAAAAAAATAAATTAAAGTAGCCTTGTATGGAAGAGGAAGCAGCCAATTCATCCATAAAATTTATTTTTTATTGTATGTTTTTATTTTTAATACTATAATGCAGTTTAAAATTTTAATTATGGATTAAATAGCTATAGTAAATCCATATTATTAATTTATTGGATTTAAATGTATTTTGTAGGTGCGAGCCTACAGAAACCCGGTAACTTATTAGGGATATAAATTAGGGTTGTGATCCAAAAGCGCAGTTTTCTCAAGAGGGATTGCATAATAGATTTAAAGAATACAAAATCATCCGTTAATTTGTAGATGTGAATCCGTTTGTGCTAATGGAATAAAGTTAGATTTTAATTGCTTTATTATTTTTTTTATCTCAATTCTTTCAACACGGATGGGCTTAGGGTTTAATTTCCGATAAATTTCGACATGCAATTCGATTTTGAATCAATACTATTTGTTTGTGCTATTCATTCTTCGATCAATTCGATCTTACAAATTTTCTCGGCAAGAAATTGTAGGCCAAAAATTGAGGCTATGTTTAGATAAAAGATTTTTGGAGAGTTTTAAAGTTTTACAAGTTTGAAAAAAACGTAAAAATTAATATTCGATTTAATGTTTTGTAAAATAAAAAAATATAGTATTTAATGCTCCATCCGTTCCGTAAGAAGTATGTCATTTTTTATTTTTGTCCGTCCAAAAAAAATAATATCATTTTAAAATTAGAGTGCTTTTTTATATATATAAATGTATTATCTAAATACTGATATCATATCTGCTATAATGTAGACACAGTATTTTAGGAATAGTGTAATTAGTAGATAATTAAGAATGTATTAGTGAAAATAATTATCCAATAATATAAATAATTATAAATTAAGATTAAGATAACTAATTAGTTTAATTAAAATTAAAAAAAAAATAAAAAATTTAAAATGAGATTGAAGTGTGTAATCATTTTTCAAAAAAAGAAAATGACATGGTATGTGGGACGGACAAAAACGACAACATGAACATGGTATCCGGGACGGAGAGGAGTACATTGAAATTTTATGGAACAAATGACATATCTATATGTGTATTTTTCAACATTGAGACGTGCTTACCACCCTATTTGCCTATAGCAAAAGCAAAGAACAAAGAAGGGCATTTTGGTCAATCTAAAGAAGGGCAGTTTGGACCATACAATAAATATAGCTACAGATGTAGTTTGTAATTGAACCATCAATGCTGAACTCTGATTGGCTGTCAACCATTAGTCAACTCTTTTGAACAATATGGAATGCCTTCCTTAGCCCTAACGTTTTAAAATGAAATAATTTTATTGTCTAATATAAAGAATTGTATTGAAAATATAAAATATATTCTCTCTATTCAAAGGTATACATATTTTTATGTTAGCACGTTCAATTACAAAGTAAATATTTTATTAAATACCTCATTTTTTTTACGGTATTCTTACTTTATATCACATCATTACTTTTGTAAAAAATAATAATAATAATAATAATGACAAAAATATCATTACACTACTTTTAACTATTTACTATAATTAAAATATTATTATTTCTTAAACATCGCATTAAAAATAAATGTATATTTTATATGTGGACGGAGGAAATATTATTTTAGATTGAATATTTAACTTTTGACTTTTTATAACGAGTATTTGAATTTTTTATTTTACTTTTTTTTTTTTATTTTTTTGTATAAAATATTTTATACTCCCCTGTCCTAGGTAATATGTCTATTTTTTCTATTTTTGTCCGTTCTAAGTAATTTGTCTTTTTTTTAGAAATATAATTATACACTTTAATCATATTTTAAAATTAATAATTAATAATTTCTTTTATTTCAAGTAAACTATTTAGTTATCTTAATTTTATTATATAATTATTTTTATTAAATTATAATTATTTTTACTAGTATACTTGTTAATTATTTACTAATTATTTAACACCTAAAACTTCGTGTCTAAGCAAAAGTAGACCATTTAAATGGGACGGAGTAAATATTTATTATTATCATTTTTGGGAATCGTAATTGAAAATTGAAAAATATCAAAAAGAACAAAACAAATGTGTTTATTTGGTTTTCTAATTTAAGGGTTTTACATATTACTCCATATATATATATACATACATGCGCGTGCGAAGGAAGAATGAGAATTATATTGTTAATATAAAAAAAATATATATTTTCTGTTGAATCTAAAAATTTTGTGAAAGAAGAGATATTTCATTTATCCCGTATATGATGATTTTTTTTAGTGAGGATGTAAATATTTAAGTAACATAGATTAATAGATTATTAATAATAAATTATGATATTATTTTATTATTTTTTATATGAATAATATTGTTGGTATTTTAAATACTATATATCACTAAAGTACATACAATGGATCTCATTTTGTATAAAATAAAATTTTATACTTATAATACAAATAAATAAAAATATGTTATATTTTTATTTATAATTAACTTAAAACTATTTTATAAAAAAAATAATGAGTAATAAATATAGATAAAAGTATTTATTTGTTGAGAAATGAGATAGAAATAAATGAATTTTATTCTGTAAAATTAATAGTCATTTTACCTTAAAAGAATAATTTAATTAATTTATATTTATTAAATATATTTAAAATGAATAAATTTATTAAAAATAGAATGAATGGTTCTAAAGGACGAATAAAAAATGTGAGCATGAAGGAGGGAGTATTAACATTTGCTATCTGAGTTACATATTATATTGTGTTATATAATTTATTTATTTTACAATGATGTTAAAATCAAAATTTATTGTGCTATAATTAAAATTATATTTTGTTATATAATTATATAATTTGATATTGAAATATTTGTTATATATTATACTCCCTCCGTTCCAGATATCATGTCCACGTTGCCGTTTCTGTCCGTCCCACATGCCATGTCACTTTCCTTTTTTAAAATGATTACACACTTTAATCTCAGTTTAATTTTTTTTTTAAAATTTTAATTAAACTAATTAGTTATCTTAATCTTAATTTATAATTATTTATATTATAGGATAATTATTTTCACTAATACATTCTTAATTATCTACTAATTAACCCCTCATAAAATACTGTGTCTACAGTGTAGCAGATACGGTATTTGGGACAGAGATGGAGTATATAAGTATATTTTATAGTTGGACGAATCCAAATAATAAAATGTATATTCATTGTATGCATAAAAATATTTTTTCTGTCTACTTGTAAAGTTTAATTTTTTTTTTCCGTGTTGGTATTTGAATATTAATTATTATATTAAAATGTAGTATAAATTAAAAAAAAATGACAAAAATACTTATATTAATGTCTTATAATACTAATAGAATGACGTTTATACAAAAAAAAATTATACAAATATAACAATATTATAAATGTTATATACAATAATACAAAAAAAGATAAAAATAAACTTATTAAGTAGACCGAGGAAATATATTTTTATTAAAATATAAAAATAATAAAATAGACAACAAACCATTTATTTGTAATGAAAAATAGATTTACAAAAATAAATAGAATGCTAATAAAATATTTATCAACACCTTACCTTACGCATTTTCTTAAAATGTCAAACTTTGGTGACGAAATAAAAAAAATAAAAGTTAATTGATCAATTAAATATCCATTTAACGAAAATAGCAATGTGATCACCCGACACGTCAGTAATTACATCGCCCAACAAAGTACCGTCCGTTTCTTTTGACTAATTCAATTTTGAGATCTTAAATTTTATACTCCCTCCGTCCAAATACCATGTTCATATTGCCGTTTTTATCCGTCCTATATATCATGTCATTTTTTTTGGAAAATAATTACACATTTTAATCTTATTTTAATTTTTTTAATTTATTTTTTTTAAATTTTAATTAAACTTATTAGTTATCTTAATCTTAATTTATAATTATTTATATTATAAGATAATTATTTTCACTAATACATTTTTAATTATCTACTAATTACATCCCTCCTAAAATACCGTGTCTACAGTCTAACAGACACGGTATTTAGGACGGAGGGAGTATTTAAATAGGATTTAGTATTTTATTTAATTTTTGTTAATAAAATATATAATTTAAATTAGAATTGGCAAAAATTAACTTCACATGAGATAATTAAATTTTTATTAATACTAATTCATTCCGTTCAATTCTAAGAGTTTCGTCTATTTTTTTCGTGTTATCTTTGAATATTAATTATTATATCAAAACGTAGTATAAATTAGAAAAAATTACAAAAATATTTTCATTAGTGTTTTATAATATTAATAGAAAAAAATTTGTACAAAAAATTATACAAATATAAAGATATTTTTAATATAAATACACTAATGTAAAAAGTGAATGTAACTCTTAGAAATGGACAAAGAGAATACTATTTTTTTTCTATTTCTTTTTACTATAATTCTTTTTTATATTTTTATATATATATTTTTTAAAATTTGTATCCGATCAAATAAAAATAAACTTCTATGGCGAATAAAGTACTCCCTCAGTCTCTTAAGTAAATATTCATTTGCTTTTTGCGCGTCGTTTTAGAAATATTAGTATTATATTGAGATAGAGTAGGAATAAAGTAGAAATGACTAAAATAACCTTGTTAGTACGTGTGATATAAATGCAATGACATTTGTGTAATATATTGTAAGTTGTAAAAATATTTGTAATATTAGGTAGGTGATACAGTTACTAAAAAAAAATATTTTATTATAAGACAGATTAAAATGAAAATATAGATACTTTATTACGGGATTGTGGGAGTATTTATTTTAAGTCATTTTCCATTTATTGAACCATTGACCAAATCATTATTTATTTATTTATTTATTTTGGATCTCGACAAATCCCGAGATGGATTACTTTTATTACAAACTTTCCGAACTCCCAAGTTCCCAACAAGACGGTACATATATAGCATGAGGGGCATTTTGGTCATTTTACTATAGGATCTCCGTGAACGTGCGCATCATGGAATTCGTAGGGGCAATTACGTCATTTCACCCGCCGTGTACGGCTTCTGCTTCCTCGCAAGTCCATATATAACGGCAAGAGGCTAGAGTGCAACGGTTGAATTTCGGCTATGGCGGATTCGTCGGTAGGACCGTCGAGTTTCTGCACTCAGGCGAATGCTTTGCTGAGGAAGAATCTGATTTTTCAGGTATCTTGAAAAAAAATAAATTCATTTGTTGTTTCTTCGATTTATTGTGTATATTCGATGAGTTTGGAGTCTGTAAGTTCTTGTTTGGTGCTGTAATTAGTGGTTTCTGGTAGAATTTGGTGCTTCGTATCGTACGTCTGTTCATTTGAGGTGCTTGTGTGGCTTGACAGCTGAACATTTTGAATTAACTTGCAATGGAAATGGCGATACGGAAGATTTTACTCCTATTAATGATTATGGTGATCTTGAATTGTGAATTTAGTGAATGTTATTTGGATCTAGGTTTATTTTGGGATTAGATGTTCTTTTGCACGTTGGAGGATAAATTGGTTCACTCTCTCTCTCAGAAGAATATTTACATTTTTCTTTAAGCTGGAGAAGTCTAGAACGAACTCTAACAAGCTACAAAATGGGCCAAATCCTAGAAGAAAAATACAATTAATGGCCCAAAAAGGAAACTATATAAAAAGTGAACGGCCCAAAACAAATATTTTAAACATGTTCTTCCAATCTTCCTTAAAGAATTCCCTTTCTGGACGTCCTAGAATTTGCAGGTCATCTTCTTCCTTGTTTTCACACCCTCCATGCACAATTTGGCGCGCAAGTTCTTAAAAAGAGGACCTGCTGAGGACTTTGTAAAGATGTCTGCCACTTGTTGCTTGCTGCCTACATAGGTGGGAGCAATGAACCCCTTTAGGAAGGTAACGGTGCAATATGGCGGGCAATTTTGATGTGCTTGGTTCGGTATGTAGAGTGTTAGTGTAGATTGATTGTCACAGGAATTTTAATGATTCTAGGAGGTAAGAAATCCACAGCAACTCACATGTTGTTGTGCTCGTACTCCTATATTTAGCTTTCGTGGATGAGATGCTCACTGTTGTTTGTTTCTTAGCTTTTCATCAGTTAAGATTACTGCCCAGAAAAACACGGTGATTGATTTTCTTGAATCCGGGCACATTCCCCAATCTGCATCACAGTAGGATGGAGAAGAGTTAGCATTGAAAAACAATCCATGATTTATGGTTCCCTTTAAATACTTCCGTAAGGGAATAGAAGCTCTCCAATGTGCTGTTGATGGCTTGTTCATGAATTGACTTAATTGTTGAGTTTCAAAGGCAATATCTGGTCTTGAGAAATTAAGGTAAAGTAGCTTTCCAAGTTCCAACTAACCTTCGATAGACTGAGGCATCATCAGTAAGAGGTTCTCAATCAGAAGCTGATAGTTTCACTCCTGTTGGTAATGGAGTAGATGCTGCTTATGCATGAAGCATTTTCATGTCATCAAGGATGTCGGTAGTGTATCTACCTTGGGACAAGTCAATCCCCCCACTTAGCTGCCTTATGTCAATCCCAAGGAAGAAGTTTGCTTCTCCCAAATCCTTGACTACTTGTATAAGTTCAGATGATGAACCTATTAACAAGATCTCATCCACATACACAGTCAAGATCACCACTTCAAAATGAGAACGTTTTATAAACAAACAATGGTTACTACGGACTTGGTTGGGTTCACTGCATATACATACATAATGCTGGTTTTCTTATGTTTCTGTGAGGCTTGGTTGGAACACCATGTGAGACTACTACGGACTTTGAAGAAGATTGATCACTTTCTTCAGCTTGCTGAATCCCTATGTGTGAGGACAACTCAGGAGAGGTAGGAAAGATCTTATCATTACTAGCAGAGCATCTAGGTCTTGAGACTTCAACATTGGTTCTTGTATCTTCACTTAAAGAATTTGAAGAATATTGAAAGCCAAGAGGAAGGCTCCTGCAGTAGGTTGGGATGTTGCTTGAGCTGGAGTAGTGTCAGCAACAGGATGTGTTCCTAGAAACACACTTTCATAAAATATGACATTCCTAGTGACAAGGACCTTAGTTTCAAGGCTTAATACCTTGTAGCCTTTTGTGCCTTGCTTATAGCCTATGAATATGCATCTCATTGCTCTCTTGTCAAGTTTGGTTTTAGAGCAGTCTGTGTTATAGGCATAAAACAGTCACCAAAATACCCTTAATAATCCAATGTAGGTGTGTCACCATACAAAATTTCATATGGTTATTTCCAGTTGAGTATAGGTGTTGGGAGCAAATTTATTAAGTAAGATGCAGTTAATAAGGCTTCATACCAAAAAGACTTCCCCAGACCAGAGTGGAACAGAAGGATCTAGTGACAGCACAAATGTGTTGATGTTTCCTTTCTACACTTCCATTTTGTTCAAGAGTGTAAGGGCATGTCCTCTGATGTTTAATACAATGCTCACTCAATAAGTGTTCAAAGGCTTGACTTGTGAACTCAGCTCCATTATGACTTCTCACAATCTTCACCTTTCTTTTAAATTGAGTCTGGACCAGCACTAGAAATATTGAGAATATGATTTGAGCCTGTGATTTTTGTTTCATCAAATATGTCCATGTGGCTCTGCTGTGAACACCAACAATTGTTAGAAAGTATCTGCAACCGTTGGATGAGGCAAGGTTGTGAGGACCCCATATGTCTATATACAACAACTCAAAACAGCTAGAAGCACAAGAATCAATGTTATAAAGAGCTTTCTTTGTTTAGAGAAATGACAAGCATCTCCAAAGCACATAGTTGGAATAAGTGAGCAATGATGTAACCAAGCTCATTCCTGGATGGTCAGAAGGGGAGAGCTCTAGGTGAGCCATTGAGTAGAAAGTCTGTTGGTTGCAGAGGATGGGGTAGTAGCGGTTGCAGGATCAGATGCCATGGTAACACTTGTATGAAGCTATATAAAGGATTGCTAGGCTAGGGATAGGAAGTGAGAACTGAGCGCAGATCACTACTCTGATACCATGCCAAGAATTGAAGAGGATTTTAACGGTGCTTGTTTCACTATTGAAGAAAAAGATGCTGTGCTGAATATGTATTTACACTTTTTCTAGAGCTGGAGAAGTCTAGAGCCAACTCTAACAAACTTCAAAATGGGCCAAAACCTAGGCTGATACAACAAGAAGAAAAATACAATTAATGGCCCAAAAAAAGATTAAAAGAATGAACCCAAACTGAAAAAATTAAAAGTTTTTCGGTTTAAACTGTTTGGTTTTGATTGTTCAATTACTTGGTTCGGTTATGGTTTTCAACTTTTAGTTTTGGTTAACTGAATTTTTTAAAAATAAAAATTTTATATTAATAAAAAAAACTCTCTCCGTCTACCAAATCTATGCCTATTTTCCTTTTTTATTTGTCCACAAAAAGTATATATTTTCCATTTATAGCAAATAACTTTTACACACTCCTTATTTATACTCTTCACCATTACATTTATTTACAAAATGCTATAACTATTTACACATTCAATCTATTAAAAGTTTTCTCATTTCATTAATTTACTTATATACTTATTAAAAATACCTTATTTCATGTCATAATCAACAAATATAATACTATATTAATTAAAACTCGTGTTCAACCCAAATGAGCATATATTTAGTGGACGGAAGGAATATATATTATAATTTCGAGTATTTGTATTTTTAGCATTAATATATATTAATAAACCAAACCAAACAAAGTTTTGGTTTGTTCGGCTTTTAACCAAACCAAATTTGGTTTGTTCGATTTTGGAAGAAGACTTCGGTTCAATTTTGGTTTTAATTTTTACAAACTGAAAATCGATCAAAATTTAAAGTTCGATGCACACCCCTATGAACAGCCCAAAACAAATATTATAAACATCTTCTTCCTTAGAGAATTCCCTCTGCTTGACGTCCTAGAATTTGCTTCTTTCTTTTTTCTTTACAGCTTGGATAGATTACTACTATGGATTCATTGGATATATTATGAACTGCTTTCTTGACTCTGAAAACACAATTTCATCATCGTTGCAAAGTGGTGGCTCAGAGTGTTGATCATGGAGTCTTGGTCTTCTGCTCTAATGCATGCTGCCCCAATCTGAATGATGTATGGATATTAATTACCTAGTTTCCCACCAATTGTTAAGAAGCTTAAGTTTAACGGGTATGTATGTGGTTCTAATTGTTGTTTTGGTTCCAGAGCTTATAAATGGCTGCATGATTCTGATGTGAAACCTATCAAATTCATATATACATGACTCTGGTACTTCTAAAATTTGTACGCTAAATTCTGGTGTTGAGATTAATTGAATTCGTTATTAATTCACACTTCACAGTTACTTTGTACGTCAAACTTTATCATATGATATAACCATGTTTGACCGTTAGTTGCTCTTAGTAGACAGGAATGAAATTCGAACTGCTGCTTCAAGTTGATGTTTTCATTTCTTTGCAGAAAAGAAACATCAAGACAAATATTCGACTTGTTGCTTCACCAGTTTGTATTTGTATTTTGCTTCTTATCATGCAAATTGTGGTGGACAATGAATTAGACCAGCCCTCAAGAAGGTGTGGGTGCACTTGCGTGGATACTGAAGGGAGTGGTCAATGTGAACAAAAGTGTGGGATTGAATACTCAACTGCAGAACAAGCGCGGCGTTGTTCCATTCCTCATCCCCCCACATGGCCTCCGTTATTACAAGTACCTGCACCACAATACCGTGCTGTGAGAACTGATTATATATCATATGGAGACTTGCCAGATGAGAGATGCAGGAGAACGGGTTCCTGTCCTGCAACCATGCTCATTACAGGAGAAAACCAAACATTTGGACAACGTTTGTCCCTGTTCGTGCATACTGCTAATTATGCTATGACTTTAATATCCTAACTTATCATAAAGAATGATATTCCAGCGATGATTTGATAGGTGTGGCTGAGAGCTTCTTTCCAAAACAATTAAGTATAAATGCATCTGATATGCTCTACAGCTTAGCTCTTAATGTGCTGGTTAGCAATATTTCTCTATGCATTGTTTCCATTAAAGTGATCATTCTATTTACCATTTGTCAAGTTATAATGATGATACTAAAACTGATTTTTGGTTTTTCAGGGTTCAGAAACAATGACTGAGATTACAAACTTTCTTGAGCCTGCTTTTATATCAGATACTCCTGTTGATTATCTCCAACCTCAATGTACATCAACTGCTGATATTTCATTCCCTATCAATTTTGGCCCTGCTACAATTGAACAAAGTAGGTTATAAGGTTACAATCTTCTTAGTATATTCAACTTTTTGCAAAAAATTGGAATTTAATTGTGATGGCTCTGCTTTGTACAGTGATATTTTGAACTAAAATTTGCAGGGTGTGAAAAAGTGTTTGTATTTAATAAAAGTTCCTTCTAATTTAATGCAGAATTACGCTGTGTTCGAGGTTTGACTTTGTGGCGAAATAGTTCTTCAGCTATCAATAGTGAGGTGTACAAGGGTTATCGTACAGGGAATCCAGAGAAAAAGATTAGTGAGATTTTAGCAGGTATTGTACTATACTATAGCATTGCACAAAATTCATTTAGTTTTTATGGGATTTTCTAATTTTCTTATCTTTTTTTTTTTCACAGCTTATGATTTTATGAATTCAAATGAGAATCTATTCAATGTGAGCATATGGTACAACTCTACGTATGAGAATGATACAAGCAGAAATCCTATTGCTTTGATGCGGTTGCCTCGGTCTGTAAATTTGGTACATAATACTTCCGTTACTATTGCATTCAATTCATCTACCCGATGGTTAAATTACTATTCATATTTTTTGCATAACTGGATTTTTGAAACACTAAATGGTCAGTTGAATTTAGTCCATTTAGGATACAATTGTTTTCTGATAGTTTAAATGGCTGAAGCATGCATATTAAAATGGTTTTTATTTCACATTATCTCAGAATTCATTATTATTTTTTGATATGCAAAATATTCAACTAGTGGTATATTGGAAATCTCATGAGCATATCAAACTTATTATTGAAAAATTAAACAGTATTTTTGTTCAACATGTTTAACTGCTTGTCTTCTTAATTTGTTTTGTTAGCCCTGAGTTTCTGTAAAATGTTTACATCAATTTAGCCTGCCGTGGAAAAAGTCTCACATTCATACTAGATAGCATAATTAATGTTCCGTGCCTCTATTATGTCTTTCATGCAAAAATTAATAAGAATAGAAAAATATGCTGATACTTCGCACATTTTGCAGGCTTCAAATGCATATCTTGAATTTTTGCTTGGACCTGCGACAAAAATTCTTTTTGACTTTGTGAAAGAAATGCCAAAACCTGGAACAAGACTCAGCCTCGATTTTTCTTCTCTTCTAGGGGGGCTTTTCTTTACATGGATTATAGTACAGTTGTTCCCGGTAAGTTCACATTGTTGCAAGACATTATTATCAACAGGGTTATTAATGTTGTTTTCTCTCTTTTTCAATATTTTCTGTTGCTCCAGCCTGGACAAACTTCCTGCAATTTAAGGTTCTTGACCTTAAGTTTCTATAGTAATTTTGATATTAGGGCTTCAGAAGATTGCACTTCCACTGCGAGCATATTTGTTTTTTGGGTAGAAGTTTTGATTATTTTGAAATGTCACATCTCCGTAAAACAGATCTTCTTTGTTCTGTTGTTAGATGCATAATCCCTTTCAGTAATTTACAGATATAGATGTTAGTGCTATGAAAATAGCTTCATTTTTTTTTCCATCTCATTGATGGTAAATAGAAGAGAGATATAGAGGCACTCTTCTTGTCACTTCAAAGAGGTCTATGAATTTAAGTGTTACTTTGCTATATTTTATCTGCAGTTATATGCTATACATGACTGCTTATCAGCTTTTTGTGTTCATTATAAGATTTTCTGTTGTTATGTTATCTTCAATATTGATACCTTGTATAGTGTGTACCTATTATTGCTAAGTGCTAAGTGGAGTCCTTTACATTTTATTTGGCAGGTTATACTTACATATCTGGTCTATGAAAAGCAACAGAGACTGAGAATTATGATGAAAATGCACGGGCTTGGCGATGGACCATATTGGCTGATATCTTATGCTTATTTTCTTGTAATATCATTAATCTACATGCTTTTCTTAGTAATATTTGGCTCAGGCATAGGTAATCCACGAATTTTATTAATTAATTAAAATTTCAGAATCCCATTCTTTATATCTTTTGATGTAATGTCTGTCAGGTTTGAAATTTTTCACACTAAATGCCTACAGCATCCAATTTGTGTTTTATTTCCTCTACATAAACTTGCAAGTCTCGTTGGCTTTTCTTGTAGCTGATTTCTTCTCAAATGTGAAGACTGCTTCAGGTATGTCCTCAGCATTATTGTCCATTTTTACTTCTTACCTTGCTTTTTTACTTATATATTTCTTTCTCATGATGCATCTTGTCGCATTTGTGTGAACCTGTGCATCTCAGTTGTTGGCTATATGATGGTATTCGCAAGTGGCCTTTTGGGTGGCTTCCTTTTCGAACCCTTTTTGCAGGATCCTTCATTCCCAAGTATGCTTTTTTTTTTGGGTTAAATTCAATTTGTGCGATTCAGTATGGCATTGATTAGCAAATATAATAACTATTATTGTACTCTAATTTTCTATTAGAAAGATTATCTATGTGCATTATTGTGTACATATGATGATAAACATGATATATCACAGGAAAATTTCGCGGTCACATCATCTAATGTCTGCATTAGTTGAAGTTCCTGCTTTGTATGATCGGAAATTTAGATAACAGAGCAATTCATGCTGTTTGTTTTTCTTGGAGTTCTTTGTGCTTACTTTTCTTAGGATTGAACTTCCATTATATTATCTTTATTTTTCATATTCAAAGTTTCTCGATGAATATCCTAATCATATTTTCTTATTGGAATGGACTAGCCATGCTTGCATGTATTTTCTGCGCTTTGATTTTGTTTTATTTTTTAATTAGTCTAATGGTTGTTGTTTTTACTCTTAACCCTTTTTGCAATAGTGTTGGATATGCAAACATATCAGCTTAACCTTGTAACAATCCTTGCAATATTGCAGGAGCTGGGATAATTGCTATGGAGTTGTTTCCTGGATTTGCTCTTTATCGTGGGTTATATGAGTTCGCTCAGTCAGCCTTTGAAGGAAATTATTTGGGAACAGATGGAATGCGGTGGAAAGATGTAATGAAGAGCAACAGCGGAATGAGAGAGGCCATGATCATCATTGCAGTAGAATGGGTAGTCGTTCTTGCTGTTGCTTGTTATGTAAATCAGGTAATGTCATCAGGACGAAGTCCTCTGTTTTTCTTGCGGCGACGCCGGAAGAATCTCTCATCATCCTTCCGGAAACCAAGCTTAAAGAGGCAGGATTCAAAGGTTTTTGTTCAGGTGGATAAACTTGATGTTGATAAAGAGGTAAATGTCGACTGAGGGGTTTCATTGTGCATGGATTCTGTGTTAGATGTCTCCCATTTTGATGTTCCTGTATTTTTTCCAGCGGGAGAAGGTCGAGCAGTTGCTACTTGAATCAAGTACAGATCATGCCATCATCTGCGATAATCTGAAAAAGATCTATCCAAGTAGAGATGGCAACCCGGAAAAATTTGCAGTTAGGGAGCTCTCACTTGCTTTACCATATGGGGAATGCTTTGGCATGCTCGGTCCAAACGGTGCAGGCAAAACCTCATTTATTAATATGGTCGGTTAATCAGTTTACTGTCTGATATCTTCTGTTGTTCCATGTGTATATATCATTTTCAGAGTATGCAGATGTCGGTCATAATTTTTTCACTCAAATTTCTTGTGCTTTGTCAGATGATTGGACTCATAAAGCCTACCTCTGGAACTGCATACATTCAAGGGATGGATATACTAACCAATATGAATAGAATATACACCAGCATGGGCGTGTGCCCCCAGCATGAGTAACAATTCGATTCCTCATCACAACACGGGTAAATCTTGGTTTTGATTAATGTTAGTACAGGTTTTTTCTACACTTTTGCAGTTTGCTGTGGGAAACATTAACGGGAAGGGAGCATCTCCTTTTCTACGGGAGGCTTAAAAATCTCAAAGGCGCGACTCTAACGCAAGTAAGTCCCTCCCTAATACATTTCTAAACAATTTGGCCTGTGCTTGGAGTGTTTTGGTATTTTGAAATATTTTGGATTTGAAATTTATTGAATATGTGAAATTACAAGTCTAGATTTATGTGATGCAATTAATGGAGATTTAAAAACAATTAATTAGAAATATATTGTATTTAAATTTGTTAAACCAATGGATTAGCATATTCTAATTTATTGCTTAGGATTTTGGGATTAGATATTTTTTTTATATATATATATGGCTATATATGTATCTTGTGGAACAATGTTCCCAATTCATTTCTTCACATTATAGTAAATGAGTGTTGAATGTAATAATTTTATATAGAAAATAGATATCGAATTTGAGGTTTTTCATTTAGAAAAATATTTTACTACAAATTGCATTATCATAAAAAACCAAAAACACATTCCCACACCCTCGATTGCTGCTGGGGCTGTTATTCGAGTTAAATCAAGCCGAATATCTCATGATTGAACTTGACTCAATCTCTTATTGAGCGGAGTATAGTCCAAGCCCAGTAATATTTTTTCTAGGTTGAGCTCGAGCTTGAGTTTTATATTATTATATGTTATGTTAAAGTGATCATCTCAACTAAAAAGCTTATACTAGTAGGAAAATGATCATTAATTATTATTATATAGTCAATCAACATATTAAAAATATAATAGATATATAAATTTATTATCTTATTGAACATTGTCCAAGTTGAGCTACTTGATTCAGATTTTTATTTTTTTTCGGGTAATTTTCAAGCTTGAGTCTAAAGTAGCTAGACTCACATAACAATTCTAATCTCTGCAAAGTTCATTGGTTGAGACAATGAAGGGTTATAACCTTGTAACTATGTACATATATATTGCGTTATTCAGGCAGTGGAAGAATCTCTCAAGAGTGTGAACTTGTTCTATGGTGGAGTGGCAGACAAACAAGCCGGAAAGTACAGCGGAGGCATGAAGAGGAGGCTCAGCGTTGCCATTTCACTCATTGGAGATCCAAAAGTATACTTACATTAAGGATTTGTTCTTTCTAATATTTTTTCACATTTTTTCAAAAAGTTAATACACTACACACACTCATTATTTTTATATTCTCTACACAATTTTCTATACTTTACATAAAAAAATTTCTTTTTCAACAATCTCACAAAATAAACACACCATAATATATTATGACATTCTCATGTAAGTTTCTTGACATTAGTTCTTGAATTATTTGTATTCTTGCAAGGTGGTGTACATGGACGAACCAAGCACCGGACTCGATCCGGCCTCAAGAAACACGTTGTGGAAAGTCGTAAGACAAGCGAAACAAAACCGAGCTATAATTCTCACAAGTATGTACACTCTCGTAATGTAAAAAACAGTTAAATAAATGGACGCAAATATTTGTAAGTGGTACCTATACATCCTTTTAAGAATTCGGGTATTATCATTTCATCTTTTTGTTGCATATTTCAGCGCATTCTATGGAAGAGGCGGAGCATTTATGCGATCGCTTGGGAATATTTGTTGACGGCAGTTTGCAATGCATTGGAAACCCGAAAGAGGTAACACACTTTCATATTTAGAGTGTGTTTGTTTAATTTTTTTGTTGTAAGGTACGGAAAATTCTGAAAGTATTATAGAAAATAATATTTTGAATGTTTTTGTTATATAACTTTTATTATTATATGTATATATTGTATATTCTACTCATTCCCAACCAAATGTATATATTTGTTTTTCCCTAATAGAATAAGGAACAATAGTATCTTATTCCTAATTGGGTGTAAGAATATTGAAAAATATATCATTTTTTTGTATGGATAATGATATATTTGTAATTTAGATAAAAATTAAAGTATTTTGGTATTAAAGTGAGAATACTTTTATTTATAATAAAAATATATATACATTTGGTGTAACAAATTAAAATAACAAAATGTGTACTTTTGGATGAGTCGACATATATTAATTATTATTTTTAATAATATTTTAGGAGAATTGTATATATATATAATACAAAGTGAATACACTTTAAATTGCTCATAATTTGTGGAATCTAATACATTTACGTATTCATTTTTCTTTTTTTTTTTTTTTTTTGTATTGACAGTTGAAGGCGAGGTATGGGGGATCATATGTATTTACAATTACGACATCCCCGGACCACGAGGAAGAAGTCGAAAGATTAGTGCATCGCCTATCTAGGAATGCGACAAAGATATACCAAATATCGGGCACACAAAAGTTTGAACTGCCAAAGAATGATGCAAAAATAGCGCAAGTGTTTGCTGTTGTCGAGGATGCAAAGAGCCGGTTTGCTGTTCAAGCATGGGGTCTTGCAGACACTACATTGGAGGATGTCTTTATTAAGGTTGCCCGAGGGGCGTCGGCCGGTGACACCCTCTCGTGATTATTGTGGAACCGTAGCAAATTTGTGGATTATATTTACATATATTCGCGGAAGTATATAGATACATAGTTTTCATTACATGGACAAGTTTAAAACATCATTGGATTCGCACATATAAATTATGTGCATGGTTGTATACTTGTATGCTTTTATACAAATATTGTCTCCGAGATAGCCATTTAAATACATTAAAATAATACTCTCTCCGTCTCAGATATCATGTCATGTTGCCGTTTTTGTCCGTCCCATATACCATGTCACTTTCTTTTTTTTTTGAAAAATGATTACACATTTTAATCTCATTTTAAATTTTTTAATGTTATTTTTTTTAATTTTAATTAAACTAATTAGTTATCTTAATATTAATTTATAATTATTTATATTATAGAATAATTATTTTTACTAATATCGAGTAATAATATTACTCCGGCCCAAGTTAATCTAATAATTTTTTTTTTATTTTGGATCCATATGAAATCAATCTATTCATTTCTAGGTAATTATATTTTTCATATAATTAAAAAAACCTTACTTACATACTATTACAAAAATAATTTATTTAACAATAATATATAAATACTATAAAACTAATAAAATTTACAAGTACTATATTCAATAAGAAAGAAATTATAAAAAATAATATTGTAGAGAAAAAGAAATGAACAGATAATTGAATTTTTTTTTTAATTTTTTTAAATAAAAAATTTAGCTTAAAAGTGTAAGGAATTAAAAATACATGAATAGATTTAACGAGAATTATATATTGTGAGTGGAAATGAGAAAACAGATTAGGTAAAGGATGTTTTGCTGAGGTTAGAATTTGTAAAAAAATACTCATAGTTAGTTAGTATTTTCTTTCTTATCTTTAATAATAATTTAGATGTAATTTTTATGATATCGGAATAATATATTTATAAAAAAAATCATAAAAATTAAATGGTAAAAAATTGAAACAAACAAAAAACAAATAAATACAGTCATGTTTTCAATTTTAATTTTTCTTCATTTTTCAAAGAGATACAATTACAATACATATATATATTTTTAAATTTTATTTTATTTACTCATATATATATATTTTTAAATTTAATTTTATTTACTCAAATAAACAAGAAAAATAGAAGAATAAGTAATTTTTATTTAAAACAAAGGTCTGTTTACTCGTGGGATTTATATCCTGATTTTACTATTCTATTTTTTTTTTTAAAAAAAATATCAAATCAATCGCCCTATTATTTATTTATTATATTATACAAAAATTCTATTTTATATTCAAAACATCAAATCAATATATATTTATATCACAACAAATAACTATTTTAATTCAAAATTTTACTATTAAAACCAAACCTAAAATCAAAATCTTACAGTAATCACACTCAAACTAATCACACCCAACATCAAACAATATTATATATTATCTTTTATTTATTATATTTTAAAATTAAATTTTAACTTTTAATTTATATATTTTTTCTTCTTCATAATCATCCTATTTAATTTTAAAATTAAATTTTAATTTCTAATCATATATATATTTATTTCTTTCTAATCTTCTACACTTCTTTACCTTACACAATATCGTATTGCTCAGAGCAACTCGATCAAACCTGCCTCACATTTTCTCTTATATCTTTCATCCTCTTTCAGTTCTTCTTACTTTTCGAACTTTCAGACAAACCGTCTTTCATCTTCTTTTTCTCAAATTGACATTGTCCAGACGGTCCCGTTCGACCTTTTGTCCAATCAACGCCAATCAGTAATATTATTAAAAATACATTTTAATCATGCATATGTATGACCTATAATTTATTTTCGCTCAAGACCTAAAAAAAAGTCCAAGACAACCCCTGTATATTTCGATGGATGGATGACATATTATTTAACAAAACTAAATAAAATAGGTCCGTAAATGATAGTATGGTGGTGTGGGAAGTGAATTCATCTGCCACACATGGTTCGCCTGGTGTGACTTGTCTATCAGCCTCGATGATGTTTTTTTATTTTTTAGTTTCAAATAAAAATTATTGTTAGTAATTTCATATAAAAATATATTATTATTATTATTATTTTTACAAATATCAATTTAAAATATCATTTAATCAAATTCAAATAAAAAAAAATCAAAAGCAAATAAAAATTATGGTAAATTATACAGCACCTTGTATTTTAGAAAAAATGCACAAAACATCTCATATTTTAATTATTGAGTGAAATCTCTTGGGTTAACGTAAAGTTTGCACGAAATATCCTCTTGTCCAAAATTGATATTTGGTTTTAAATAAAAACCTAAATTAAACAAGTTTTATACAAATAAAAAATCGTAAAATATTTTAAATAATTTTGTTGAATAAAATAAATAAATAAATAATTGATCAATAATTTATTTTTATAGTTTTGGTAAAAATCAGATATCAATTTGTCTCAAAAAAATTATAAAAGGAAGAATTAATCAATTATTTATTTATTTATTTTACTCAAAAAGTTATTTAAAATATTTTACGTTTTTTATTTTTATAAAATATGCATAATTTAGGTTTTTATTTAGAACCAAACATTAATGTTGAACAATAGTGTTGTTTCGTACAAACTGTACGATAACATAAAAAAAATTTCACACCATAAATATACAGAGTGCTCTGTGTATTTTTCTTAAAACAATTATATAATTTACCTTAAAAACTAAACAAACAGTAGATATACAAAAATCAATAGAATGCTAATAAAATATTTATCCAACACCTTCTTACACAATTTCTTAAAATTAAATGTCAAACTTAATTTGGCGAGAAAAAAAAAAATCACAAAATAAAAGTTAATACTCTCTCTCCGTCCTATTAGGTTGACATTTTCTTGTTACACTTAAATTTTTAAATATTAGTATTATCTTAAATTGCAATAAAAAGACAAAAATACCCTGGTGTAATATAAAAGTAATGACATTTTGTGTAATATATTGTAAGTTGAAATGATATTTATTATGTTAAGTATGTAATACAATTATTAAATTAGAAAATGATAACCTTGTTTTGGGACGGACGAAAATAAAAAATAGTAATATTTCAACGGGACGGAAAGAGTATATTAATTAAGTATCCATTTAACTAAAATAGGAATATTATCATCGGACAGTTACAACATCCAAACAAAGGAAGTAGACATCGTTAAGCAATATCTTTATTTATTATTTTTAATCATTTTCCATTTAGTCAATCGTTGACTAAATCATTTATTTATTTTCTCAGGAGCTTTGATTAGACGGACGATTTCAGTTATAAAAATATTTGAACAGTAAAAAATTATGTACTTAATTAATAATATGTTTTATTAATATAAAAAATAATATTTTATATTAAATAATTAATTTTTGAAAAATGAATAATGTATTATATTAATATATGTATATTTATATTTTTTTTAGTTATATTTATGATAAATTATTCATTAAAAAATATTAAGTGAACAAATGATTTTTTTAGAAATTTTTTTATTATACAAAAAATATGTATATTATATCAAAATCCGTACAAAAAAAAATATATATATATAAGTAAACAACAATCATTATTATCCAAATCACGCGCTTGTTTTTCCTATAATTTAATTATTACAAACTTTCCAAACTGACAACGATACGGTACATATATAGATTAGGGGTATTTTGGTCATTTCACTAAAGTAATATCCGCGAACTTGCGGCGCCTTAGACTTGTAGGGGCAATTACGTCATTTAGGCCTTCTGCTTCCTCGCAAGTTCATATATAACGGCGAGAGGCTAGAGTGACGCAGAGTACTTCCTCTGCAACGGTTGAATTTCGGAAATGGCGGATTCGCCTGTAGGACCGTCCAGTTTTTGGACTCAAGCGAATGCTTTGCTGAGGAAGAATCTGATTTTTCAGGTATCTATAAAAAAAGTAAATGAATTTGGTGTTTCATCGATTTGTTGTGTATATTCGATGACTTTGAAGTCTGGAAGTTCTTGTTTGGTGCTGTAATTAGTGTTTGATGGTAGATTTTGGTGCTTGATACGTTTGTTTATATGTGTTAATTGCTGGTGTGGCTTAATAGCTGAAATTTTTTGAATTAATTTTGCAATGGAAATGGCAGTAGTGAAGATTTTACTCCTATAATCAGTTTTTCATTTTCACTTTTATTCATTGATAGTTATGGTGATTTTGAATTTATTTGGGGTGAATTTAGTGAAATTTATTTGGAATTTAGGTTTATTTTGTGATTGGATGTTCTTATGCACGTGGATTGGCTATACGGTATTGGATAGATTACCACTACGGATTCATTGGATATAAGATGAACTGATGAACTGATTTATTGCCTCTGAAAACACAAATTTCATCATCTTTGCAAAGTGGTTGGTTCAGAGTGTTGATCATGGGGTCTCTTGTTTTCTGCTCTGACGCATGATGCCCCAATCTGAAAGATTTTTCATTCAGTGAAGCCATGTATGGATATTAATTATCTGGTTTACTATGAGTTGTTAAGATGCTTAAATTTAAATGGCATATATGTGGTTCTAATTGTTGTTGTTACGAAAGTTAACTTAAGTCCCGCATCATCGAAACACTAAAGAAAAAATAATTGGTTATAAGTTTAACATCTAAACTCCACATAGCATGAAGTTTTTTCGGAAAGTTCAAAAGCACATTTGTGCCAGTTTTAGGGGGGTAGTTGTTGAGAAAACAAACTCCATCGATTATAAGTTAACATCTAAACTCTACATAGTATAAGGCTTTTTCGATAGTTCAAAAGCACATTTGTGTGGGTTTTATTGGTGTATTTGGTGGGAAAACAAACTCCATCGATTATAAGTTATCTAAATCCTAAATGGTATGAGACCTTTTGGGAAAGTTCAAATATTTGTGCAGTTTGATCCTAAGGCAAGATTTATTTAGTTCACACTTCACAGTTACTTTGTGGTTCAAATTTTATCATATGATTTATCCATGTTTGACCATTAGTTGTTCTTCTTTCTTTGCAGAAAAGAAACATCATGACAAATATTAGACTTGTTTTATCTCCATTTATTATCTGTATTTTGCTTCTTATGGTGCAAATTCTGGTGGACAATGAATTTGACAAGCCCACAAAAAAGTGTGGGTGCACTTGTGTGGATACTGACGGGAGTGGTCAATGTGAACAAAAGTGTGGGCTTGAATACTCAACTGCAGAGCAAGCGATGAGTTGTCCCATTCGTC